AAGTCTCAACTAACTTGGGTTATTAAGTATCGATCATCAGTAGGGAAGAAAAGGGGTGCGTGTGTTTCTCTTCTCCATCTCGTGTGTGCGCATCAGAAAAAAAAAAAAAGAAGCGATCGACTCCTTCTATCTGTGGTGTGCGTCGACTTGAAGAAGAAAAAAGAAATCGAGGTCTTGATCGATTCTCTTGTGGGGTGTCGATCATCATAGTTGTGGCTCCGATTATTTGTTCCACACTTGTTGAATCGGTCATTCATCTTGGTAATTCCTTGAAGAATATAAGACACAATGCAAGAGAGAGACTAGGTCAAAAATATTGATTTTATTTTCTTAATTGTAAGATTTCAATTAAATGAGTCCTTAATTAAAAAGTACAAAATGTCCAAAATACTCTTAAATGATTTATTTAATTGTTTATTATTTCTTGAATTCTCATTGGTGCATTTAGGAACACAATAGTTGATAGAAACATTTGAACCTAGCTATATATATATATATATATATATATATATATATATATATATATATATATATATATAGGTTCAGGTTCTATGGAAAACAAAAAACCCTAAAGAAAACCCTAAAAAAATGCATAAAAAAATACTTAGAGACCACAAAAAAAATTTTGAAATTTTTTTATGAAAAAATCACAGCTTTTGCTATAAATTCATTGAAATTTTTTTTGAAAAAAAACAATTTAAAAAAAAAATTGATTTTTTTCAACGATTTAATTAAAAACCTGTGATTTTTCTATAAAAAAAATTGAAATATATATATATATATATATATATATATATATATATATATATATATATATATATATATATATATATATATATATATATATATATATATATATATATATATATATAAGTTCAATAGAGAACCATTATTAATCAAAGAACCAATCCAAAACGTCGAAATTTAAAATGGTCAACGGCAAAAGGAATGGTTGTAGATTATCCCAATAGACGCACATGCACCGGATTATAACAAACTCACTTCCTTTTTTTAAGTTTAATTTTTTTAGGTCGTGTTTTTTATCGAAAAAAAAAAACTGAATATATCATTGTTCATGATTTTTCGTTTTCTTTCCATAGAGATCTATATTGGTCCAAAAAAAATTTAAATGAAAAAAAGATGTGGATTTTTTGGTATAACCGGGTATGTGTGCGTCCAATATACAAATTTGTACATATATTTCCTTGGTCGTTGATCATTATGATTTCCAACGCTCACGATTGGTTATTTGGTTCCTTGTTAATTATGGTTCTCTATTGAAATATTTTTGAAGTATCGTTATATGAGGGTTAAGTGTCGTGAATTCAATGGTATTTATAACTATGTTATAAACAACATACACGAAGAAGACCTGTTTATTGCGGCCATGCACCAATATAAAGATACGAAACACATACCGTTTAAACACGTCAAAGGTTGGCGAAAATTAAGAGAGTACCCAAAATTTAGTGATTAAAAATAAGGTTTAAAAACTAGTATAAGTTGTTTGTAGTTACATTTTTAAGGTTTTTTTTTTTTAATTTTATGTTTTTTGTTTTAAATTAATGTAATCTTGTTTTGATGAATAAAAAACTAGTTTAAAAAACATATATGTTTTTCTGTCTTTTTGAATTAAATTTAATTAAAAAATATGTGTTATTGTGTTTTAATGTAATTTTGAAGTAAATTAAAATAACAAAAATAAGGTGGAGTGACATATTTAGTAGTAGGTATCACATGTTAGTAGTAGATGAATGTGGTGCTGATGTGACACCCACCACATATGTGGTATGTGGTGGTTATAATGGATTGTCTAACATATATATATATATATATATATATATATATATATATATATATATATATATATATATATATATATATATATATGGAGTGGTTCAAATGAGAACCTTAAAATGTTAAGAACCCTAAGAACCATTTTTTAAATATTTTCATTAAAGACATTTTAGACAAATTAAACATTAAAACTATATAAAACAAACTTTTTCATTCCCTTATTTACAACTAGTTGCCACTTATTCTTAGAAGTTGTCGGACCACCATCAAACCGTTGTCGGGGCGATGTCGGACCACCGCCAGACTAACATCAAGTTTAATTGTATTTCCAGGTCATATTCACAGCTTAATAAAACAAATATTATAGTTCTAATTTATTTGGTAATGCTTTTTAATACATGCCCTTTTATTTTTGCAACCAAACATACAAAATATTAATAAAAAATAGTTTTATGCCTTGACAAAGTCAAATTTTATTTTTCTAAATTTTAGATTTCCTTAAAAAATCTATCGTGTATAATGCGTATTCATAGTTTAAAATTTTCATATTCACAGTTTAATCAGCATATTAATTCACTAATACACAACTATATTTTCATGCATACATTCATTCATATTTTAGGATAAAATTTATATAAAATATACAATTTAATACAGTCCATTTATAGTTTAATACACAAAAATTCACAACTTAATACAATTCATTTTACAATAATTCAAAAATTCAAAGATAAACTCAAACTCTACCATCCCCATCAACTACAATACGACATCACCAACCATAATTGTCACCATCCCAATCATCCTTCCTTCTAAATCAAATATGTATATAAAAATCGTTAATTAGCAGCTTAAATATTATATTTATAATTTAGTAAACCAATTAATTCACTTATTATAAGTTTACTGCAAAATAATTATAAAACTAATATCTTCTTACGTATTTATACAACACAAAAAATAAATATATTCACAAGAAAACTAAAAAAACATTCTCACGTAAATCATTTATATTTTAACATAGAGTTCATTATAAATTCACAGCTTAATACAGTCAATTAACAGTTTAAACAGAAAATTTGCAAATTAATGCAATTAATTCACATTTTTAAACACAAAAATAACAACATAATACAAAAAATTCAAAATTTACTACATTTAATGCACATTTTAAACAAAAAATTCATAGATAATGCAGTTAATTCACAGTTTAAAGCATAAAAATCATAGCTTAATACATAAAATTCACAACTTATTACAATACATTCATAATTTAATACACAAAAGTATAAATTCACATTCATATTATCAACCTAAAATTCTTAATACAGTCAATTCACAGTTTAATACACAAATTCACAACTTAGTATAATAAATTTTATGTTTAATACGTAAAAATTATACATTCATTACTATATTCTCAAATTAAAACTCATATTTCAAAACTTTACTTCACAGTTTAATAAAGCAGTTTATGACACTCATTTAAAGTGTTCACAACTTAAAGACACTTTTCAAATTTTATAATTTTCATTTACACAAATCATCAAACACCTTGTGTGCATAAAAAAAACCATTCACAATACTTATACAACTCAGACTATTCATAAATTAAAAAATAAAAAAATAAAAAAATAAAAAAAAAAAAAAAAAAAAAAAAACTAGGATTTAGGTTATTCAAATATTAATACATAACTCTTATTCACAACTTAATGTACAACAAACACTATTTACAGTTTCAAATATTCATTCAGGCAAATCATCAAACACATTATGTGCATCATGAAATGTTTCTTGATTCTGATTTTTACTAAACCTTTTAACACATAATAGGTAACAAAAATGGAGTAAGATGTAAAACACAATAAATAAACATGAAGATAATTGTACAAGGTTAAAAAAACACTCATATAAGTTCATCATAATATACCTGATGTGAAGAAGATGATGAGTGACACATTGGTTGTAACAACACCACCAAATCTTAATGATCTTGCTTTGCCACTCGGAAGATCTCATATATTTGGTCTCGTCGGATGTTTGTGCTTGTGTAACTGGCCTCATCAATAGTTAGTGACATTTTTAATTGTCGTTGCTAGTGGCGATTAGTAGCAAAACTTACAGAGTTGGAGGAGGAAGACACTACTGGTGGTTCTATAGTGGTTGAATGGTGGTGGATCTCATATATCTTGAGCGGAAATCGCACATCTAGATGGCAGCACCGGTGTCGGCTTGGATTACACCGGAACTCCTTTGTCTGAACATTAGATTTTCTTAGAAATCCTTCCACGTCTCAAGATCCCATCAGAACTCCTTCCACATCACAAGATCTAGCTGAAAAATTTATAGATCTGAAGGAGGAAATTGTAGATCTAGCGTAAAAAATCATAGATCTGGAGGTGGATCTGGTAGATCGGTGGTGGAGACATCGTCACTGGTGGTGGTGGTGGTGAATCCGCTGTCACTGGTGGTGGCGGTGGTGCAACAAGCAATGAGAGTGGTGGTTGAAGGATATAAATGAAGGCTTTTGCTTTAAATATTAAAAGAGAAGTTAAAGTTAATAAGTTTTAGATGCATCAGTAATGGTTCTTATTCTTTTTGGTTCTCATATATATATATATATATATATATATATATATATATATATATATATATATATATATATATATATATATATCGGAGCAAGGTTTAGGATCGTGGGAATTTTCGTGTTGGGCACCGATTAGATTTTTGTGGCACTATTCATCGATTTTCCATGAACCAAGTAAGCGCGTGGTTACTAATTAGGGCTCCCTTATGAGTGCATCATTTTTGAGTTTCTGGATTATGACGCCATGTGAGTGTATCATTCTATTTTCTTGTTAGTTACTTATTAGAAGATTACTAGATAAAACAAATCATCTGGTAGGGAGTAGTGATCACGTGTACCAAATTCTAGTAGTTGCTAGACTTGCTAACAATAAACTTATTGGCTCCAACTTCTTTGGGTGGAGCAAAACTATTCGTATCCATATCTGAAGCATGGAAATATCTTCTCATCTCACATCTAATCCCCTTAAAGGTGATGGCTAGATTCATAGTTACAAAGTTTGTATTTGCAAATTATGAATAAAAATGTTGCTTCTTATTTTATTCTGATAAAGGAAGGAAGAGATGTAGCAAATTCCAATTAAGATTTTAAGAATAATTTTGTTGGTAAGAACCTGTATTTATTAATTCTTATCTTATTATGACGTTTATTAACTTTATGTTATTTAATTGTTACTAAAAATACAATCGAAATTTATATATTAAAAAAAAAGTTATTTTTCAATGTTTTTCAGGGACATGCTTATCTAAAAAAGCCTGAGCAAGATTAGTGAAGCTAACACCAACACCATCAGCAGCTGCATATCTTTTAATCACATCCACCACTTCACGTCTTAAGATACCTTCTTTAGTAGATTCATTACACAGATAATACAAAGCCCCAAGAGCATACTTCACCTACCAAACACATAAACATTAAAATAGGTTTTAAAAAATACAATTCCTTCATAAGAAAAAAAATAATTTGAAATTACAATGTTATATTTGTAATTCTTACTGTATTTTTAACAGGACTTGATAAGCATTGTACAAGAAGAGGTATTCCATCACATTTTATTATTACTACAGCATTTGCAGGATCTGTTGACAAAAAAAAAAACAAAAGTAGATTAGTACTATTAACTATTAAGTCCTAACTTTTTACAAATTTGCCCTCCGTATTTTTAACATACCAACACATGAATTGCATATCCCTCCAACACCAAACTCTATTAGCTTCTCATTGGGCTCTGTTATGCAGTCGAGGAAAAGTTCCAAAACATTAAGCTGTTTATGAATTATGATCCACTTGTCAAGTAAAACAGAAGAAGTTGGCATTATAAACTAATAAGTAAATAAATAATTAACCTGGCGCATAAATGTATAATTGTAGGGATCATATGCAAAGTTTGCTAAATTAGCAACGATCTTCTCCTTCGACTCTGCAATTACAAAGAATCCAAAAGAAGAAGAAATTGATAACAAAATTAAGTTAAATAAATAATATAGTTAAATTGATAAACAGTTACATGTGCTTATCTATATATCTTGATGAAAGACAAGATATTGTCACAAAAAGGAGTATGATAATAACTCTACAACATACCTTCAGTAGATGCGTTTTGAAACTGAGCTACAAGTTCCTACAAACATAAAAAAGATATAAATATTATTTTTCTTTTGTGAATAAGGATAATAAATTAGAAAAAATGAAATATACCTGAAGGTATTGGACCCTTGGAGTACCATATTTTCCAGTACGTTCTTCTTGTCTTTGAGTATTAGTGAACATGTAGTAGTCTGATAAACATGTAAAACATGTAGTGAACAAAGTTTTTATTTTTCATATTTTTTGTTTTTAACTTTAATCAGCCACATACAACACCAAAGCATGCTTGTAATGCAACCCTCTAGTTGAATACTAAAACAAATTTAGCCTAATATTTTTCTCCTAAGCATTTCATCGAACAGGTAGTAGACCACATTGAACGGATACACATAAGCATCTACCAGTTTATTTACATATAATACTTTATATTTAATCGTTTATATTAATCTTTTTGAGAAAAAATGACATAAATGACATCAATTGAAGAATGTATCAACAAAGATCAGATGGTCAACATCGATTCAGCAAAGTGAGAGACCAAAAAAAGAACACTTTGGAAGATAAAGAGAAAATGGAGAAAATGGGAAACAAACATCGATTCCAGCTAAGTAAGTGATCAAAAGAATCGATTCAAGCAACATCAGAAAACTACTTCAGTGAAAACGGACAAATTTACGGTAAGAACAAAATGAAAAGACCTTACCGGATGGCTGTTGTCGACGAATTTGACGGAGTTGGATAGCGTCAATGGTGGCGCTGCAGAGGCGGAAGCGGTGACCGGTTGGTGGCGGAGTGCTGACGGAGGGTAGCAAATCGTCGACAAGGGATGGGAGGGGAAAAGGATACGTGAGAAATGGGAATATGATTTACGAAGGTAATTAATTTTTTTTTATTTTTTATTTTTTATTTTTTTATATATATTTGGTAATAAATTTATTGGAAGTGTTCACATATAACCATTATGACCTGCTATAGCAGGTTAAATCTTAGATGTAAACGCTTTCAACAAGTTCGTTACCTAGATGTGTAAAAAAATAGTTACCCAAATATTAACAAAACGAAAAGTAAAAATTAAATTATATGAATGGTCCCTGTAGTTTGGGGGAATTTGTATTTTTGGTCCCTAACTTATTTTTTTAACTTGGATGGTCCCTACTATTTATTTTTGTTGCGCGTTTGGTCACTGTCTTATCTAAAAAGACTATTGTGCCCTTATTAATTAATTTTCTTATTTATGTATTTATTTTTTACATATTTAAAAAAAATTAATAGACCACACATATTTGTATCTCCTCGGATGATCCCTACTATTTATTTTTTAATTAATTTATTTTTTAACTCGGATGGTCCCTACTGTTTAATTTTGTTACGAGCTTGGTTTATGTCTTACCTAAAAAGACTATTATGCCCTTATTAATTTATTTATTTAAATAATTTTCTTGTTTATGTACTTATACTTTATGTATTTAAGAAAAAATAGTAGACCCCGCATATATGTATCTCCTCACCATCCCGTCTCTCATCCTTCTCAGCTTCTATTTATTTTCCATTTTTAGTGATATTGACGTCTTCATCGTCACTTCTTTTTTCGGTCCTTTAACTTTGTCGAATCAATACCACAACCCACTAATGATGAAGAGACTGTAGGTTATGGTGTTGGTTCGCTAGAGTTGAAGTACCAAAAAAAGAAGGATGGTGAAGACGTCAATGTCACCAAACGCGTAATAATCTTTTTAGGTAAGACATGAACCAAACGCGTAACAAAAATAAACATTAGAGCCCTTCCGAGTTAAAAAAATAAATTAATTAAAAAAATAAACAGTAGGGTGGTCTATTAATTTTTTTTAAATATACAAAAAAATAAATAGATAAATAAGAGAATTAATTAAAAAATAAATTAATAAGGCACAATAGTCTCATTAGGTAAGACAGGAACCAAACGCGCAACAAAAATAAACAATAAGGATCATCCAAGTTTAAAAAAAAAGTTAGGGACCAAAAACACAAATTACTCTAAACCATAGGGACCATTCGTGTAATTTATTTTTTACTTTTCGTTTTGTTCATATTTAGGTAACTATTTTTTTTTTGTACACATTTAGGTAACGAACTTGTTGAAAACGTTTACATTTAGGATTTAACCTGCTATAGCAGGTCATAATGGTTATATGTGAACATTTCCAACAAATTTGTTACTTAAATGTGTACAAAAAAAAGATAGTTACCCAGATGTGAACATACCGAAAAGTTAATTACCTTCATAAGTCATATTCCCCGTGAGAAATAGTACGAGAAGAGACAACTATGGATAAAAAAGGAACACGTTTTTTTTTTTTTTTTTTTTTTTTTTTTTTTTTTTTTTTTTTTTTTTTTTTGAGACATAACCTCGTATCTGAAATATTAAGAACTTTATGAAAAATTAAGACGTAAAAATTAACATAAGATGCAACCAAACAGTCTACATCTTAATTATTAAGATCCCTCTTAATTGGATTCTCTTAATTTTCCAATTAAGAGGCTACCAAACAGTCCTGAATGTCATTTGAAGTATTACAAAATTAACCAGAAATAGAAATTTTGCAAACAAAAAATGGCGTTTGATTCTAAGAGGGTTTACATGTGTAAGTACTTGCTTCCTTTATTTGTATTTATATATTTTTTTTATTAACTGAAATTCGTTAATGTTAAAGATCATGTTCGGAATGTAGTGTTAATTTGTATCCGATGTCTTATACACAGCTAGTTATTTTGCCTTAATAAAGTCCAATACATTAGATAACTAATTTGGTTTATCATAGCAGTCTAAAGATAACTCTTTAATTAATTCTATATTCCAAAATACAAAGAACGGATATGGAATATGAAGAACAATCCAATCTGGAATGCAATAAACATTTTGGATTAATGTTCAACGTAATTTTTTATACTAATTTCTTTATTCATTTTTCACCATAAATGCATTTTGATGTTTCTCTTATAATGTCTTACACACATGTCATTTTTATGGATATTCTTGGAAAAATCAATAACCAACCAGCATACAAACCTATTTTTTGAAAGACATGCTTTGTTAGGTTCTAAGATATTCATGCAAGTGTATAAAGGGACCCTTTGCTTTTGCATCATATATTTTGCAAAGAACTTGTCACAAATCCTTGAAACGACATAAAGAAAATGGTTTTTTAGATCAGGAACTTCGAGTTGGCCTTTTGGGAGGGATTGAAACTAGAATTTCAACTTAAGCATTGATTTGAACTTTGGGAATAAGATTTGGGTTCCAATTAAACCCTAAATTTAAGAAATGGTAATATTAAGAAGAGATTGTAACTTACAAGAGTCAAGCAAGTATGATAGAATAAGAACCATAACTTCACTTAGCACTTCAAATCCTTAATCTCTTGTTAAAATCACCACCTAACCAGCTCTCAAACTTCTAGATCGATTCAAAGCGAGGAGGGAAGGAAGTCTCTCAAGCTTAACCATCATGTGACTAGATAATTAAGTAGCATTTATATAAATCCAAAAATTTTCATTCCCCCTCTATGTCCTATCATTTAATATTATATTTAAGTTAACTGTTTTTCAATTTAATGAAAAGAGACTAAAAATTTTAGCCCCAAAATCAAAATGTTATAGTTTCATAGCACTAAAGGTTGTGAAGCTCATCAATAGACTATGACGAGTTATGTATCGTAATGTTATGACCCAATATCTACAAACATAGTTTATAAAAAGAATTAGCTTGAAATTCATTAAGGATTGGTGGCACAAGTTGTTTTACATTTGTCTTCCATCTCCATGTTATTTTATCTCTTAAATATAAAGTGATGATAAAATATGAAAGTAGATGTTTTAAATTCAAGATTAGATGTTATTAATGTCGTATATCATATATAGTGATCCAAATGTAACAACAATTGAATTGATTTAGAGTTTTTAAGGGTCATGTTTGTTATGTTTGACATGATTGGACAAGTTTTCTAGAGCTATATTTGTTGTTGAGGATGAGAAAATTTGTGCCTTTTGTAAAGATAAAAAATCAAAAATGAGTATTTGCCCTAACTTTTTGGGTAGAACACATTACCACTGAAATCGGTCTTGGTCCAATGTTTTCCAAACACACTACCACCCAAAAATGCATGTTGCTAAAGTTATTATTTTTTAGGGTCAATGTCACATAATAATAAAAAGCAACCACCATATTTTTACTCATTTGGTTTCTAATCATTTTTTCTTATACGATAGAACATTAAACTTACGGTTCACCTACTAATTATACCACGATCATTTTTTCCAGTTTAGCAAGTTACCATAATGACAAGACATCATACATGGTTCACCTAAATGTTGGAAATAGTGTCTAATAGTATCAACTAATTGGTAATATTTCAAAATAATAGCAGGATTCATTTGGGTTGTCCTCATGACCCAATTAAGCAACGAATAATTAAGAGAAAATGAGTTATCAAATTATTATGAATTAATAAACTAATTGAATTTTATTTTGAAATTAGTTAAATAGTTTTAATTAATTAAATAGGTTGAATATTGATCACTTCGTTCGTAACTAATTGTAATATTGCAGAACCTTCTAGGATATGATATATATTGAATTTATCTATAAGGATAAAAGATATGGATTGATTTACATAATGATATGGTCTATCCTTGGAAATTTGAATTTTATACGTAGTGGAATAACTAAAGATTGAACGTCAGCCCATAACTGAACTATGACACTACACTACATCACTAGCTTCATAATTGAGTGTATTGTTAGTCATCCCCAATGTTTTAATACGTAGTGGAATAAATAAAGACTGAATGTCAGCACCTAATTCCTCTCGTCAGACGAGGTTGTAGCTAGCAACTTCAGGCGGGCGATCGAACTATATAAGTCCAATAATATGAATCTTATACATGTCGTTCTTTGTTCCTCACGGATTAACGGTTATAAAAATATATGGTTTTCACCAAGACACGTAGTCTTAGTATACCCAACAACATAGCTCAAATGGCTTTGGAAACGAACCTAACTCACGAACTAACGATTATAAAAATGCAGGGAGATCCTAGAGTGTTGGATCCTAACAATGTATCTAGGCATCCTAGTCCTAAACTTCTCATTATAAGACTGTTGAATACTTATAATTTTGTTGTTTAGGAATAATATTTGATTGAATTCATTTAGTATATGAGATTCGTAAGACTTAATGGATTTTCAAATTTCTATTGTCTGTTATGACGAAATTTGGATAGCATAATGGCTGCTTTTATAACATTTTTCAGGTTTCAACCAACGTGAAACCAACAATTTCCAGGATATTTTATAATTCATGTGATTAATGTAGTATAATATTTCGCAAAATAACGATTCTTAAGTCCTGAAGTTGATCATATTATTTATTACAATAAAAATCTATAACTTAATAAATTGAGTTATATTTTTATATTTAATATAAAAATATATTAATAAATTTTACATTCATTTTTACATAACTTATTTATATTAAAATTTAATTTTTGATAATTTAACTATTAATTATATAATTTCATAATCTTTGTCTTTTCCATCAAATATGACAATGTACATTCATTTTTATACACAAATAATATTTTTGGTCATTTTTTTATCTTTCCATGCTTCCATGAGATACTTTAACTTATACATATAAAATCATCATTTTTGTGACTTATAATATCAACTTATGTTATTATAGCAATCTACTTATAATCTTGTGATTTCTCTTAATAATTGTATTCATATTTCACGTAAGGTATCAATATATCCTCTTTCAACAATCTAATTTAACTTAATATATTTATTGGTGATTTATCATATTTTAAGATTGTTATTTCCCAACGTTCGAACAATAATAAAGTGCAATGCAGTTTTATGTATAAAAATTTCTAAAACATCAAGACTTGATAACTACGCATGTATTCTCCCCCAAATATGAAAACCGTAAAATAGGGACCGTAGAAACTCACCATTGAAGCGTGAGTTCAACTTGTTTGGTTCATTCATGTGAAGTTTTGCGTGAGAAATCGAAATCAACACCTTTTGAGCTAAAACAAAGCTCAGGACTATTTTTATAATATTTTAAATCAAATGGACTTGTTTTGAAATACTTTATATTTGAAAAGGGGTTGGTTTGTAATTTATCTAACACAAGGGACTGTTTGTGATAAATTATATCCAAAAGGGACCACTTTTGGTAATAACCTAATTCATTGGGGTCTGGTTTGATTGAATAATGAAAACAAGGGCTAACTTGGTCAAACTAAAGCAATGAAGGGACTGATTTGGTAACATCATAAACAGTTGAGGGGTTGTTTTTGGTCAAAACCATACAAAGAGGTAACAGGTCTCCGGCTTCAACGATCAGGAAAGGAAGGGACAATAGAAGTCGGTGGGGAGGTCCGAAGGTGGCTGGGAGATCGTGAGGAGGGGGTCGGCAGCACAGGGTTGCTCTAGTGGCTTCCTTTTTCTTCTGGTCTGATCGACTGCATCACAAAAGGGGAAGGAAGGGAATGGGATTCTCCATTTTTTGTTTGATTAAAGAAGAGAAAATAAAAATGGAAATAGAACATTGGAAGCACCTCAGGAACCTGATCAATTCAAAGAAATTGATGAAGGTGTTGGTGTAATCCAGAAAGTTTGGGGTCCATTTATGTTTATTTCCACTTGTGTTCATTTCAATTTATTCACATAGGAAGCTGTCAAAGGCCATGTTGGCCATTTTCCCTTTTCTTTAAGAAGTAGTAATCAAGTGGTTTTATGTTTCCACATTTCTAGCTGAATAGTAGGTTAAGTAACATGTAACGTTCCAGTTTTAGATGTGAAGAATAATCGAAAAATTGCCCCAAACATATCCTCTCCATTTTTGCTTTGTTTCTTGTTGTGTAAAATAGGGGCCTACAACAATACTTCGTATCAGAGCAAATCTTGTATATGCCCAAGTATCAACCACGAGTGACAGAAATGACAGGAAACAACAATGACAAAGATGGTTCTATCACTTTACACTACCCCATGCTCTTGAGAAGTAATTATGCTGCTTGGGCAATCAAAATGAAAGTTTTCATGCAGGCCCAAGGTGTTTGGGAGGCAGTAGAACCAAGAACAGCCAATACAGTTGTTGAAGTCTGGAAAGACAAGATGGCATTGGCGGCTATCTACCAGGGTATTCCAGAAGATATGCTCTTATCATTGGCAGAAAAGCAAACAGCAAAGGTGGCATGGGAAACTCTGAAAACGATGTATCTAGGGGCCGATCGGGTGAAGACGGCTAGGGTTCAGACGTTGAAGACTGAAATTGAAATAATGAGCATGAAGGAGTCAAAAACAGTAGACGAGTTTGTTACCAAAGTCACGAACATAGTCAGTAACATTCATGATTTAGGAAAGACAATAGGAGAGGCATACGTGGTCAATAAATTACTTCGGGTAGTATCTAACAAGTTTGTGCAAATTGCATCCACCATAGAGCAATTTGCTGATATAGAAACTATGACAGTTGAAGAAGTCATAGGGAGACTAAAAGCACATGAGGAACGGGTGCGAGGTCAAAGCTACTCTAACGAAGGAAAGTTACTCCTGACACATTAGGAGTGGCTAGAAAAAACGAAGAAAAGGAAGGATAAAGGCTCGAAATCTTCACAGCGAGACACCAAACAACATAATCTCAGTTCACGTGGATGTGGGAGAGGCCGGGGAAGAAGTAATTCAAACCGTGGAGGTCATTATGGTGGAGGTTTTCAGTCGAGTCGCGATGGAGGGCGTAACACGACTAGTCGAGACAAGAGTACAGTGGTGTGCTACAACTGTCAAGAACAAGGCCACTATGCATCTGAGTGCAAAAACCCACATAAAGAGAGATGCCAAGAAGCCAATCTGATGCAGGGAAATGATAATCATAAACGTGCACTTTTTCTATCCTCATACAGTAAGGGTGAAGAACATGAGGAAGTATACTTAAATGAAAAACAGGTGACTCCAAAATTGAGATTAAATGGTGATGAAGCTACAAAATCCAAGATATGGTACTTGGATAATGGGGCCAACAACCACATGACAGGGGAGGAAG